CTGGGAGCGCTTGAGGTTCCTAAACCTGTATTCCCTGGAACGCAGGAGGGAGAGATACATGATTATATACACCTGGAAAATCCTAGAGGGACTAGTACCGAACTTGCACACGAAAATCACTCACTACGAAAGCAAAAGACTTGGCAGACGATGCACCATCCCCCCAATGAAAAGCAGGGGTGTCACTAGCACGTTAAGAGACCATACAATAAGTGTCAGGGGCCCAAGACTGTTCAACTGCCTCCCAGCACACATAAGGGGGATTACCAACAGACCCCTGGCAGTCTTCAAGCTGGCACTGGACAAGCACCTAAAGTCAGTTCCTGATCAGCCGGGCTGTGGCTCGTACGTTGGTTTGCGTGCAGCCAGCAGCAACAGCTTGGTTGATCAGGCTCTGATCCACCAGGAGGCCTGGTCACAGACCGGGCCGCGGGGGCGTTGACCCCCGGAAGTCTCTCCAGGTAAACTCCAGGTAATACATGACAACCACCACAGCTTCAGGGATGGAAAATACTGTGTCACAAACCTATTGGATTTCTTCAGGTTAAGAGAAGTAGAACAGGAGAGAGAGAGAGAGAGAGAGAGAGGGGGGGGGTGATGTGCAGACTGCATTTTCTTAGACTGCAAGAAGGCTTGTGACACAGTACTCCATAAGAGACTGGTACAAAAGCTAGAGGAGCAGGGAGGAATAACAGAAAAAACACTACAGTGGATCAGGAAATACCTGACAGGAAGGAAACAAGTGATGGTACATGACGAAGTGCTGGAGTGGGCGCATGTGACGAGTGGGGTTCTGCACGGTTCATTCCTAGAGCCGGTGCTGTTTCTTGTATACGTCAATGATATGACAGAAAGGATAGAGTCACTGGAGTGCGATAAAATTAATGAATTTAGAAACAACTCACTCAGAAGTGTTCAAGAAATGGCTAAGTATTTTATCCACAGTGGTATATTACAGACCATTCTGGAGAAATACCCTGACTTTGCTAGCTGTAAATAAAGCATTACCACATGTGTGTGTGTGTGTGTGTGTGTGTGTGTGTGTGTGTGTGTGTGTGTGTGTGTGTGTGTGTGTGTGTGTGTGTGTGTGTGTGTGTGTGTGACTCAACAATCAATATTTGCACCAATAACTCACTACAGTTGTGACCGGGTGTGGAAGTGTGAATTGCTCATTACTCTAAAATTTGTTCATGACTGTAGCCATGTATAAACGTAAGTAACCATTCTTACAGTAAAGTAAAAGGACACAAGTGCAACTAATGTGACATTTATTGTGGCAACGTTTCGCTCTCCAGGAGCTTTATCAAGCCATTACAAACAATACATGGACACAGAGGGTATATAAAGGCTCAGAGTGAGGTGCAATACTAGTGAGGTAACATTTCGATGTTCACTAGTGGTAGTAGTAGTAGTAGTAGTAGTAGTCGTAGTAGTGGTAGTGACAAAAGTAATACAATATGATAGAGCAATTAATTCGTACAAGAGTAAAAGGATATAAAAGCTATTACTTGGGTAACATAAAAATAGGTTGGACAAATATAGACAGGAAAGAGGCAGCTTGTTTCAGTGTTCACTCTCTGTAATGTGCTTTGTGTAGTATAACAGGAGAGACTATGTGATGGCAGGGTTTACTGTTTTCAGGAGGATTCTTGCTAAGACTTCGGAGATGGTGAAGCTGCCGTTGTTTTGTTTAATTGTATTCGAAACAGCGATCAGTGCTGATTCGAGGCACTTGCGTCTGCGGAAATTAGTTTCTTTGATCACTAATTGGGCGTCTCTGAATTTCATGAGATGATTGGTGGAATTTCGGTGTTGTACGCAGGCGTTGTTCAAGTTATCGTTCCTACATGCGTAAATGTGTTCATTGAGGCGGGTGTCGAGGTTTCTTGCTGTTTCACCTACGTAAATCTTGTCATAGCCTCCACAGGGTATAGTGTAAACTCCTGCATTGACTGGTTCGTGGTGCTTGGATTGTGTCCTGGTTAGATCCTTTATTGAAGTGCTAGAAGCGATGGCGACTCTGGTGTTAGCTTGTGAAAGTACTTTTGAGGCGTTCAGTGCAACCTGGCTGTTGGGAAGAATTATAACTTTGTTGGGAGTGGTGTTGATGCGTGGAGAATTAATGATCTGAAGAGCTCTTTTCTTGCAGTCTTTGATGAAAAAAGAAGGAAAATGTAACTCAGTGAATGTTTGGTGAATATATGTACATTCCTCGTCAAGAAACTCAGGACTGCAAATTCGGTATGCTCTTAGGAAAAACCCGATGATGATGCCTCTTTTGGTCTTGGTATCTTGGTATCCAGTCAGGGTACCAAGACCAAAAGAGGCATCATCATCGGGTTTTTCCTAAGAGCATACCGAATTTGCAGTCCTGAGTTTCTTGACGAGGAATGTACATATATTCACCAAACATTCACTGAGTTACATTTTCCTTCTTTTTTCATCAAAGACTGCAAGAAAAGAGCTCTTCAGATCATTAATTCTCCACGCATCAACACCACTCCCAACAGTTATAATTCTTCCCAACAGCCAGGTTGCACTGAACGCCTCAAAAGTACTTTCACAAGCTAACACCAGAGTCGCCATCGCTTCTAGCACTTCAATAAAGGATCTAACCAGGACACAATCCAAGCACCACGAACCAGTCAATGCAGGAGTTTACACTATACCCTGTGGAGGCTATGACAAGATTTACGTAGGTGAAACAGCAAGAAACCTCTACACCCGCCTCAATGAACACATTTACGCATGTAGGAACGATAACCTGAACAACGCCTGTGTACAACACCGAAATTCCACCAATCATCTCATGAAATTCAGAGACGCCCAATTAGTGATCAAAGAAACTAATTTCCGCAGACGCAAGTGCCTCGAATCAGCACTGATCGCTGTTTCGAATACAATTAAACAAAACAACGGCAGCTTCACCATCTCCGAAGTCTTAGCAAGAATCGTCCTGAAAACAGTAAACCCTGCTATCACATAGTCTGGAGAGGTTACAGGCCTGGTATGAAAAATGGCTCCTAAAGTTTAACATCACCAAATGCAAAGTTATGAAGCTTGGGGAAGGGCAAAGAAAGCCGCAGACAGAGTATAGGCTTAACCTGGAGTTTGCCTGGAGAGAATTCCGGGGGTCAACGCCCCCGCGGCCCGGTCTGTGACCAGGGGGGAAAGGCTGCAAACCTCACTCAAGGAGAAGGACCCTGGGGCGAATATCATACTAAACATATCTCCCCCAGGCGCAAATCAACCAAATAACTGCTGCAGTTCATGCGCTTCTGGCAGTTCCAAGAATAGCGATTGAACGTCTAAGGAAGGAGTCATTCATGACACTGTAACACCGTGTATGTCAGACCCATATTGAAATACGCAGCTCCAGTATGGAACCCACACCTGGTCAAGCACATCAAGAAACTGGAGAAAGTGCAGAGGTTTGCAACAAGACTAGTCTCGGAGCTAAAGGGATATGTCATGAGAAGTTAAGGGAACTCAACCTGATGACGCTGGAGGACTAGGGGGATATGATAACGACGTACAAAATATCAAGAACTGACAAGGTGAACAGGGACAGAATGTCTGAGAGATGGGAAATAGGAACGAACGAACACAACTGGAAGTTTAAAACTCAGAATAAAAATAGAGATGTTTGGAAGTATTTCTTCAGTCACAGAGCTGTCAGGAAGCGAAACAATCTGGAGTGAGAAATGGTATGGTGACACCAACAAGATGTGGAAAAAGACACATGTACAGTTCAGGACATTTATTAAAGGAAACGTTTCGCCACTAGTGGCTTCTTCAGTCCTAATACACCACTACTTGGGGTGGCCCGGTGGCCTGGTGGCTAAAGCCCCGCTTCACACACGGAGGGCCCGGGTTCGATTCCCGGCGGGTGGAAACATTTCGACACGTTTCCTTACACCTGTTGTCCTGTTCACCTAGCAGCAAATAGGTACCTGGGTGTTAGTCGACTGGTGTGGGTCGCATCCTGGGGGACAAGATTAAGGACCCCAATGGAAATAAGTTAGACAGTCCTCGATGACGCACTGACTTTCTTGGGTTATCCTGGGTGGCTAACCCTCCGGGGTTAAAAATCCGAACGAAATCTTATCTTATCTTATCTTACTTGGAAAAGACCCGGGCCGGAAAAATACCGGCGAATAAAATAAAAAAAAAAAGTCCAAATACAGAGATAACTAAGAAAAAGAGTATATATAGTGACGCACTGGAGAGTGAAATGGTAGAGGCACAATCCATACATAGCTTTAAGAAGAAGTACGACAGGGCTCTTGAAGTCGGGAGAGTGGACTTGGTAGCGGGCAGCTACCAAGGAGCTGTAAATCGACCCCTGCAACCACATATAGGAGAGTACCCACCCCGGGCACAAACCCAGTTCCCTTGGTTGCTAGCCCGAGGCGCTACCACTGAGTAACGGAGCCAACAACTGGTTAATTAAACCGCTGAATAAACAAACAGTTGAACTACTTTGCAAATTAAACAACTAATTAAAAACAGACAAGAGAGCTGTTATCTTATCTTACGTCATATTATAGGTTGATGCACCATGCAGGCTGTGATTCACAAAATTTAACAGCCAGGTACCTATTTCCTGCTAGGTTACCAGGGGCTAGACATAATGCCGAAGTTAAAACTCTTGACCAGTTGTATCACTGAGAATTTCAGTTGGCAGAAGCAAAATGTGGAAGTTTAAAGCTGAAAATACTCTGGCCGAGGTATGTGGCACTGCCCTACCTTGCTACCTTCATGTTGCTTTAACAACCCTCAGTCTCAGTAACTAGATACTCTCCTCTTTCTAGCTTCCAGCCTGATTACCTACCATCCCAGAGGAACTATGTGAACCTTGCGGGTTTAGTGGTTCATCGAGATAACAGTAATAATAGTAAGAACTCTGGCAACTGTGTGGGATCAGTGTGTGTGCCAAGCTCTCCTACACTGCCACACAACACTACTTAAATACTGTATAAATATACAATATTTTAGCATATTGTGGCAGTTGAGGATTGTTGTTACATTAGTTGGTGTCAAACTGCCAGACATGAGGGGTTGTAAATGGATGTATTAAGGTAGTGAGAGTGTGTTGTAAGGCAGCAGTGCTCTGATACACACGAGTAACCTCCATCATTCACGCTGTCTACACTCGTACTTGCGCACTTCAGTCTTAACACTGGTATAGTGCGCACATTTCGCTCTACCCTGCCATCACCATCGATGACGATATCCCATCATTGTTTCCCCGGGACGTTCGCCATACATAATTAAGCAGTTAATTACCATTCATCATGACCTAATTCCTGTTCTGCGTATTTCAACGGTCTGAGGAAGACCGGTCACTAACTCTGCCTTTTGAGTCTACTGGGGTTTCAGGCGTGGAACTTTAACTCACTTCACTGTGAACTTTTTTTTCTCTCTACGTTTCTCTTCTCGAAGGGAACTCTTCTTCCCTTTCCAATTCTTGCCAGTGTTGGGGCGCTGTTTCTCTGCTAGAGACTGGGAAGCCAAGCTCAATACGGCTCAAGCAATGCTGGCCCTATAAACCCCCAACAAAGAAAGAAAGAAAGGAAAAAGAAAGTTGTCACTGCATCACTACACTTGTGGTGACAGTGACGCACTCCAGCTACGTTACTACACTGTTGTGGTGACAGTGACGCACTCCAGCTACGTTACTACACTGTTGTGGCGACAGTGACGCTCTTCTGCTACGTTACTACACTGTTGTGGTGACAGTGACGCACTCCAGCTACGTTACTACACTGTTGTGGTGACTGACGCACTCCAGCTACGTTACTACACTGTTGTGGTGACAGTGACGCACTCCAGCTACGTTACTACACTGTTGTGGCGACAGTGACGCTCTTCTGCTACGTTACTACACTGCTGTGGTGACAGTGACGCACTCCAGCTACGTTACTACACTGTTGTGGGGACAGTGACGCACTCCAGCTACGTTACTACACTGTTGTGGCGACAGTGACGCACTCCAGCTACGTTACTACACTGTTGTGGCGACAGTGACGCTCTTCTGCTACGTTACTACACTGTTGTGGGGACAGTGACGCACTCCAGCTACGTTACTACACTGTTGTGGTGACAGTGACGCACTTCAGCTACGTTACTACACTGTTGTGGCGACAGTGACGCTCTTCTGCTACGTTACTACACTGCTGTGGTGACAGTGACGCACTCCAGCTACGTTACTACACTGCTGTGGTGACAGTGACGCACTCCAGCTACGTTACTACACTGTTGTAGTGACAGTGACGCTCTTCTGCTACGTTACTACACTGCTGTGGTCACAGTCACACTCCTACATCACTGCTGTGGTGACAGTGACACTTTTATATCACTGCTATGGTGACAGTGACACTCCTACATCACTGCTGTGGTGACAGTGACACTCCTACATCACTGCTGTGGTGACAGTGACACTCCTACATCACTGCTGTGGTGACAGTGACACTCCTACATCACTGCTGTGGTGACAGTGACACTCCTACATCACTGCTGTGGTGACAGTGACACTCCTACATCACTGCTGTGGTGACAGTGACACTCCTACATCACTGCTGTGGTGACAGTGACACTCCTACATCACTGCTGTGGTGACAGTGACACTCCTACATCACTGCTGTGGTGACAGTGACACTCCTACATCACTGCTGTGGTGACAGTGACACTCCTACACCACTGCTGTGGTGACAGTGGCACTCCTATATCACTGCTGTGGTGACAGTGGCACTCCTACATCACTGCTGTGGTGACAGTGACACTCTTACATCACTGCTGTGGTGACAGTGACACTCCTACACCACTGCTGTGGTGACAGTGACACTCCTATATCACTGCTGTGGTGACAGTGGCACTCCTACATCACTGCTGTGGTGACAGTGACACTCCTACATCACTGCTGTGGTGACAGTGACACTCTTACATCACTGCTGTGGTGACAGTGACACTCGTTATAAGCTGGTGAACATCTTACAAGTCACTGGATGGAGATGCAGGACGATGAACCTGAGTGAGTATGGAAATAACTCGATCTTGGTGTTCTGGTGACCAAGGCTGCCTTCTCCAGGTGACCCAGGCTGCCTTCTCCAGGTGACCCAGGCTGCCTTCTCCAGGTGACCCAGGCTGCCTTCTCCTGGTGACCCAGGCAGCCTTTCCCTGGTGACCCCAGGCTGCCTTCCCCTGGTGACCCAGGCAGCCTTTCCCTGGTGACCCCGGGCTGCCTTCCCCTGGTGACCCAGGCAGCCTTTCCCTGGTGACCCCAGGCTGCCTTCCCCTGGTGACCCCAGGCTGCCTTCCCCTGGTGATCCAGGCAGCCTTTCCCTGGTGACCCCAGGCTGCCTTCCCCTGGTGACCCCAAGCTGCCTTCCCCTGGTGACCCCAGGCTGCCTTCCCCTGGTGACCCAGGCAGCCTTTCCCTGGTGACCCCAGGCTGCCTTCCCCTGGTGACCCCAGGCTGCCTTCCCCTGGTGACCCCAGGCTGCCTTCCCCTGGTGACCCCAGGCTGCCTTCCCCTGGTGACCCCAGGCTGCCTTCCCCTGGTGACCCCAGGCTGCCTTCCCCTGGTGACCCCAGGCTGCCTTCCCCTGGTGACCCCAGGCTGCCTTCCCCTGGTGACCCAGGCTGCCTTCCCCTGGTGACCCCAGGCTGCCTTCCCCTGGTGACCCCAGGCTGCCTTCCCCTGGTGACCCCAGGCTGCCTTCCCCTGGTGACCTCAGGCTGCCTTCCCCTGGTGACCCCAGGCTGCCTTCCCCTGGTGACCCCAGGCTGCCTTCCCCTGGTGATCCAGGCTGCCCTTCCCTGCTGACCTAGGCTACCTTACCCTGGTGACCCAGGCTACCCTTCCCAGCTGACCCAGGCTGCCTTCCCCTGCTGACTCAGGCTGGCCTTCCTTGCCTGTCCAGGCTGCCTTCCTTGCTGTCCAGGCTGCCATCAACTGGCAGTCCAGGTAACCTTTCCCTGGCAGTCCAGGCATCCTTCTTGACTGTCCAGACTGCTTCTCACTGGCTGTCCAGGCTGCATTTCCCTGGCAGCCGAGGATTCCTTCCCATGGCAGTCCAGGCTGCCTTTCCCTGGCTGTCCAGGCTGCCTTCTTGGCTGTCCAGACTGCCCTCCTGGCTGTTCAGGCTGCCTTTTCCTGGCTGTCTAACTGGCCTTTTCCTGGTTGTCCAGGCTGCCTTCCACTGACAATTCAGGCTGCTTTCCCCTGGCAGTCCCCTCAAGGAAGGTTCCTTGATGCTGGTGAGGGGCTCTTGATCTAGGGAACTGGATTTGTGCTCCAGTTCCCTGAACTGAGTCTGGAATACCTTCCATCTCCCTCCCCACAGGCGCTGTATAATTCTATGGGTTTAGTGCTCCCCCATGTTTATAATTATCCACTGGCAGTCCAAGTGGCCTTTTCCAGGCAGTTCAAGCAGCCTTTCCCTGGCATTCCAGGCTGCCTTTCCCTGGTAGTCCAGGCTGCCTTTCCCTGGCAGTTCAGGCTGCCTTTCCCTGGCAGTTCAGGCTGCCTTTCCCTGGCAGTTCAGGCTGCCTTTCCCTGACAGTTCAGGTAGCCTTTCCCTGGCAGTTCAGGTGGCCTTTCCCTGGCAGTCCAGGCTGCCTTTCCCTGGCAGTCCAGGCAGGCTTTCCCTGGTAGTCCAGGTGACCTACACCTGGCAGTCCAGGCTGCCTTTCCCTGGCAGTCCAGGCTGCCTTTCCCTGGCAGTCCACAGTCTTTCCCTGGCAGTCCAAACAGTCTTTCCCTGGCAGTCCAGGCAGCCTTTTCCTGGCAGTCCAGGTGGCCTTTTCCTGGCAGTCCAGAGGGCCTCTCCCTGGCAGCCTAGGAGTTTTATTCTTGTTTAATTAATGGATGTTTTTTACAGATTGTTTTAAATTTCTGGTGTTTTACGTACAGCCTCTCCTCACTTAGCGATGTACTCATTTACTGATGCCTTGGGCTTAAGATGGGCTCTCTGACCAGTATGCATACCTAAATAATGTATATTAGAGCTGGTTTCCTCTATTCTGTTTATTACAATATTCAGTACATTACTGTATGAACATTTAAGAATATACAAGAATTGTTATAATAATAGTGCAAAGGTCACATTAAAACAATATCAGAGATGGTTGATACAAACCCACTGCCATTATAGTGTGCTTCTCAGCAATGAATTCATTTACCGACATGGTCTTAGGAGCAGAACTCCGTCGTTAAGTGAGGAGAGGCTGTATTGTACTGTATATTATTATAGGATTACAAAGTAACAAATTTTAAAGATTTAACCAAGGATAACCCAACAAAGTAAAAAAGACATGTGCTTTTACTGTGGTCATATTTGCCCATGAGAAGACTTTAATAATCTTACAGAAGAAGTCATTTTATTGAGATTTTATACTCTTATATGGGTGTGAAACTTGGGCTGCAAATGCTGCAGTGAGGTGTCTGGAGGCAGTGGAGATGTCCTGTCTAAGGGCAATGTGTGGTGTAAATATTATGCAGAGAATTCGGAGAGTGGAAATTAGGAGGTGTGGATTTACTAACAGTATTAGGCAGAGGGCTGAAGAGGGGTTGTTGAGGTGGTTGGGTTATTTAGAGATAATGGATCAAAGTAAAATGACTTGGAGAGCATATAAATCTGTAGGGGAAGGAAGGTGGGGTAGGTTGGAGGGAGGGGGTAAAGGAGGTTTTGTGGGAGAGGGGCTTGGACTTCCAGCAAGCATGTTAGATAGGAGTGAATGGAGACAATTGGTTTTTGGAACCTGACGAGCTGTTGGAGTGTGAGCAGGGTAATATTTTATGAGGGGATTCAGGGAAACCGATTAGCTGGACTTGAGTCCTGGAAATGGGAAGTACAATGCCTGCACTTTAAAGGAGGGGTATGGGATAATGGCAGTTTGGAGGTTGACTTTTAAGCTGTCGTATCTGAGCGCCTCTGCAAAAACAGTGATTATGTATGAGTGAGGTGAAAGTGTTGAATGATGATGAAAGTATTTTCTTTTGGGGGATTTTCTTTCTTTTTGGGTCATGCTGCCTTGATGGAAGACAACCGATGTGTTGAAAGAAAAAACATAAGGAGGGGTGGAGATATGTTAGTTTTTGAACTGTGATATCGGCATGCCTCTGGCAAGACATTGGTAGAGTGAGTGATGATGAAAGTGTTTCTTCTTCTTTTGGGTCACCCTGCTTCGGTGGAAAATGGCTGATATGTTAAAAAAAAAAAAACTACAGTAATTTAAATTTTGGTGATAATTGTATACAGTAACTTAATTAAAAATAGTCCTAGAATAATGCAATAAGCAAGTAAGTTTATTTAGGCACAGGTACATATAATTACAATTATTATACATAGTGTAAATTACCAAGAATAACCCAAAAAATGTCAGACAAACTGACTTATTTCCATGAGGGGTCCTTGTAATATCTTATTATTTTAACCCTAAAAGTTAAAACAGCTAAGTAACTCAACTGTGTGAAAATCAGTTACAATAAAAGGTGATATACTAGAAATAAGGCAACTTGAGTGATTAACATTAACGAGAGGATCGCTTACAATAATAAGTACACGATTGTTGGCTATACAAGAAATCACTCTCCTCCCTTTCTATACATTCATTCTTAGGTACCTTTCTGTAGCTTTATTCATTTGGTACCTTTCTGTAGCTTCATTCATTAGGTGCTTTTTCGCTCTCTTCTTGAACTGGCTCATGCTAGGACAGGCTTTACATGTGCAGGCAGTCTGTTCCACTCCTTTATTTGTTTATTTAGTTTTTATTATTTTTATTGCTGTACAATAAAAATAGTCAGACAGTGATTATCTTAAGCTTACAAATACTGTCCATTTTGTGATTACTGTTTTTACCTGCTAATGTGAGATAATATTACTGTGGTGCTATGGTCATAATATGGATGGAATAACATCTCCCAGTTTATTCACTAGCCGTTGCAGCCTACCTTAACCTAATCTCATCCAATAAAAGCTGTGATTTAACCAAATGTAATGTAACATAGCCCATCCTGGTATACAGTAGGGCCCCACTTATACAACAGGTTAGGTTCCAGGCTACTGCCTTAAAGTGGAAATCGCCTTAAAGAAGAACGCCATTTTTTCCACTTATAAATGCATATAAATGCCAGACAACAAGTTTACACTAACCAATATTAAGTTAGTAATAGAACTAGGCATTAAAAAAAATAAAAAGTAAAATACATACACAGTACATTCATTACTTACCATAAAATATTTGTAGTCTTAATGTAGGACGAGAGGTGAGTAATACTTATTTGTAGGAAGTCAGGTGTAGGTAGCCCTGGCTCCCCATCCTGAACTTAATATACGATATTTAAAGCAGCCCAGAGAGATAAAGTACACATACAGTACATTCATTATTTACTTTAAATTATGTGTAGTCCTAATGTAGGATGAGAGGTGAGTAGTATTTATTTGTAGGAAGTCAGGTGTAGGTAGTCGGTAGATGTAGCCCACCTGGGCTACACCTACCTACATAGCTATACTATGATATTTAATGCAGCCCAGAGCCATGTTATTACCATTGACATACCTTGTTCAACGAGTTTAATCATTTCTAACAACTACCTTTAGATGCCATCATAAATGAAGGGAGAAGTAATGAATAATTCATGCTGAGAATTATAAACAAAAGTGGAGTGTTAAGGGGAGTGACTGGGCCAAATGCAGATTTATACACCTTTTCTCTGGTGCTGGACCAGAGAAAACATAATGTTTTCCCTCCGCCTGGCTACCACACCTCTATAGCATATAAACATAGTATGTTTATATGCTGTGTAATGTGTTTCTTATATAATTTTGAAGAAAATGTCGTAGATGGATTAATGAAAATGTCTATATTAGTGTAAAATAAGACATTTAATGTGCCCAGGAGTGATTATTATTATGTACACTATTATTAGTATTACTATGGCGTTAAGACTAAAGGGACACTTTTAGTGATTTTAATGTATACCGGCATGCCAGCACAGTGTGTAAGTATATTTAGGTATGGATACAC